CAGCGGTGCTGCAGTGCGCATCCACACAGGACTGACACTGCTGTCAACATTGGCATTCTTCTGTACGGTGGATGCGATGTTGCTGCTGATCTCTGCGTTAGATGAAGGAACAGGAGATGGAGTGGTGGTTGGGGCTTCTGTGGTAGTGTTCTCAGTCGTCGGTGGAATAATGGAATTGGTTTCTTCCGTTTCCGGTTTCGCACTCTCACCCATGTCTGCGCCAGAAGCACTGGTACCTGTAGTCTCATTAGTGGAATTGGTTTCTTCTGTTTCCGTTTTCTCACTCACACCCATGTCTGCGCCAGAAGCACTGGCACCTGTACTCTCGTTAGTGGAAATGGTTTCTTGTGAGGCTGGTACGCCAGTCACATTAACAGCTGGAGATGAATGCTGGGTGGGTTGGTCTTCACCGGTTACAGTGTTAACAGATGTGTTGCTCGGTGTTCCTTGATTACCATGTATAGCTGCATTGAAGTCTTCTTCTTGACTTTTTGTCGACGGTATTTCTTCATTCCGTTCTGCAGCTTCAGGAGCCCTTACATGGCCGTCTGATTTAACCTCTTGCTGTGGACTTCCAGGGGCTTTTTCTTCTTCGGGTGTATCTCCCCCACGTTGTTGACCTTCTCCATTAACCAATGAATTTGGCATTTCAGTTATACCAGGCATAGCTGCACCACCAGGGTGGTTGATATGCCCATCTTGGACACCATCTCTTAATACTGCATTTTCGCCCAATCTCTGGCCTGCTGAACTTTGTCCACGGTGCTTTTCGTTCTCTTGCTGATGAGTCTTCAACCACTCTGAACAGTTTCTTCCTTTAAACACATCTGTACTGTTCCTCGTACACGTCTCTCGCAACAGCTGTGCATTCTGTAGTTGTTCAGCAATTCGCTCTTCAGGAATAGCATAAACGTCCAAAACTGTCTTTGGTTGTCCAGCAGTAGTAGCAATGATTGCTGTCCTTGTTGTTGTTCTTGCGGTACGCTGGCGGCAGAGGTCTGCGTACTTCCCACATGCAGACACACGGCTGCCCGCAC